TATCTGCTCGATCAGATATCTTCCAGATCTGGAGATATGGGGACATGAAGGGGGAAAAGGGTGAAACACTTTACCATCGCAATGTTTGATTCCAAACAATAATTGCAGATGTGTGCGCAAACAATGTTCGCCAGTGGCCCCAAGCTTCTACCCCGGGAGGTCCTCAGTGCATCCGAGACAAACACCCCCCTCAAAACTGGGTGGTCACCTGACCCACGCCGAGGACCCCGACCCCCCTCGGAGTTGCGCCTTCCACGGTAGCGACTGCCCTCTGAACACGTCTTTTGCTCCTTCCCATCTCCATTTCATCAAAATAATAAAATTGCACCGCTTTCGCGACCGCCTTTCTTATCTACATTTTGTTCATGTCTGACCACATCCAGCGTGAGAGGTCTCGCTCGCCCCGTCGCCGTTCTTCTCGCAGTCCTCCCCGACGCACTCGCCGTTCGTATTCGCCTCGCAGTCGCTCCCGCAGCCGTGGTGAGCGTGACGAATACCGTCGTCCCGAACGCCGTTCCCGGTCTCCTTTGAGTACTTCCGGAGCAGCAGTTGGACCCCCAGGCTCAGCCTCGCCTTTCGGAGGACGCAGTGGATACCCCCCAGCTCGATTTGAGGACCGCACCGTCGCCAAGGAGAATATGATGCAGACCGTTCGCGATTCGTCCCAGCAAGACCGCCGGGTCTATGTGGGTAACCTTTCGTATGATGTCAAGTGGCATCACCTTAAGGATTTTATGAGACAGGGTGAGCAGGGTTGCGCATTTGGAATGGTGATTTGTTGGAACGTTTTGAAGCTAACCAGGGTTGTGATTTCGTGTTTTACAGCTGGAGAAGTTCTCTTTGCCGATGTTTTGCTTCTTCCTAATGGAATGTCGAAGGTGGGCGCTTACATGTAGAGGGGCTAGTTCCTTCTATTTCCCCCGATTTTCGTGGTTTGTGTAGGGTTGACGGGTGGACATTGGCTGTCCTGATATTGTAGGGATGCGGGTAAGTACTTTATTGGTCTTTATTCAAATTGAACGCTTTCACTGACATATCTACCAGGATTGTGGAATATGCAAACAGGGACCAAGCACAGAACGCTGTGAATACGCTCAGCAACCAGAGTCTGATGGGTCGTCTTGTTTATGTTCGTGAGGTATGTTGATACAGAATTCATGGTATTGCGATTACATGAACTGACTTCGGTCCTCAGGACCGTGAATCCGAGCCCCGCTTCGTTGGTGGTCCCCCACGCGGTGATTTCGGCCCCGGTGCCCGAGGTGGTTTCGGTGGTGGTTTCGGAGGCCACCCAGGTGGTCCAGGTGGTGCAGGTGGTGGTGGTGGCCGCCAGATTTATGTCTCAAACGTTTGTCCCCCTTTTTTACTCCCCGTTACGCTAAGTTCTGGCAGGCCTTGTTGACCGTTCGGTGTAGCTTCCTTTCAATGTTGGCTGGCAAGACTTGAAGGATTTGTTCCGCTCAGCTGGTAAGTACAGATCAAAACCACCCTTGGACGTGGGATTCCTACTTTTCTGTTTAGTGTGAGGTGAATTGACTCGGACTCCGTATCACAGCCCAGCAGGGTGCCGTCATCCGTGCCGATGTGCACACCGACCCTACCGGACGTCCCAAGGGCTCCGGCATCGTTGCTTTCGAGTCTCCTGATGATGCGCGCAACGCCATTGCGCAATTTAACGGATATGATTGGCAGGGTCGTCCCCTTGAAGTTCGTGAAGATCGTTTCGCTGGTGGTGGCCCCGGCTTCGGTGGTCGTGGTGGCTTTGGTGGTGGCTTTGGCGGTCGTGGCGGCTTTGGCGGTCCTATGGGCCGTGGAGGCTTTGCTGGTCGCGGAGGCTTTGGGGGCGGTTTCCCTGGACGTGGTGGCTTCGGTGGCCCCCCTGGTGGCCACGGTGGTTTCCCCGGTGCCGGTGGATTTGAGCACGGTGGTGCTCCTCCTGTTCCCTCCGGACCTCCCAACCCATTCACTGATTATGCCACTTCCAACGGCGATAAGAGCGCTGTCATCTATGTTCGCAACGTAAGTTTTGGGATGTGTGATAGGCAACCATATGGAATGTGGAATGCTAACTCGAATCCAGTTGCCCTGGTCTACTTGCAATGAGGACCTGATAGATCTGTTCTCCACCATTGGCAAGGTTGATCGCGCTGAAATCCAGTATGAGCCTAACGGCCGCTCCCGCGGCACTGGTGTCGTTCAATTTGATACTCCCGACACCGCTGAGACCGCAATTGGTATGTTATCATTCGTATTGCTGCTGCCAATACCCGTATACTAATTAATATGCGTTCTCTCATAGCCAAGTTCTCCGGCTACCAGTACGGTGGTCGTCCTCTGGGCATCACCTTCGTGAAGTATATGAACGCCGGCCCGGGCCCCGAAGAGATGATGGAAGGCCAAGAGTCGACCATTGGTCTGACCCAAGACCAGATCATGTAATGCACTTTCGTCCTTGTTTTTCCTAGTCACTTTCTTTGACAGGGGGGCGTCTGGCTATTTTCTTTTCGCAATTTCTTGATTCGTGATTCCCTTATTCCCATTTCAGTTCTCGGGGCTTCGTCCTCGCAAAATGGGTTTCGAGTGCCCCTTTGGGTTGATCAACTGCTTCTCAAATGGAATGAGCCTTTTTCTTCCAGTGCTCTTTTTGTAGGCACTGTAGTTCACTTATTATCCAGAAGTTCCACACGTCCTTACCGTTGGGGGAGGGTTTGGTCTAGGGGTTTGGACTTTCACCCTTATCGCCCTTGCCCTCGCCGTTCGTTTCTGCGCGTTTTATTTCATTTCTGATATTAAGTCAGATTGATGAATCATATATACCTCCTCCCCGGGACCGTATCTCATTTCTCTTGTCTCTCCTCCCTTTTGCCCACAGGTATGTCGGCTTATCGTGGCTTATCGTGTGTTGTCGTCGTATCTTATTGGAACTTTGTATGTTGTACCTAGGTACGTAGATTGGGAATTACACAGGTTTTATACCAAATTTGTTATGACTCCAGCACTTTGTAGAGATCTACCTGTTTGTCTCTCTCTCCTGGCGTCTTTAGGCAGTTTGGTTATACAAACTGAACTGAATCACTTACATTCTTTCACTACTAATCTAGACTCTATCTCTAGTATTTGGCTCATTATTATTGATGGAACATCATCCCAAGCATGCTTGTTTACTAGTTTGCTTCTTTGTTACAGATTGAGCCTTTGTTTAGACGGGTTTCCAGGGTGTTTGTTAGAATAGATCATGATTCATGATTCCTCCTCTACTTTCTCCCCACTACAGTACTATCTATCCACTACAACAGTTATTATATGTATACCATTAGATTATATGATCCCACCCTAGAGATATTGAAGTTATATACACATAGGCCTATAATAGTGTGGTTGAGTGGAGTTTTGCCAAGCTCCAACCTGTACCCTTTATATGTGTATCCCATACAAAAGACGATATATATGATAGACTTGTTATAAGCTTAATACAAACCAAGTATATCCCCCAGTTATAACTACATAGTGATCAATCAAAATAGACATAACATATGCCATAACAAACCACATATGTACAGATCCATTTCTTATACTACACCAAACGCACAGACCAACATACCAATCCATCTCCAACAATCACATCTTCACATCTACCTCTCTCCATTGATTTCCCCCAATCCCACCAAAAACCATGTCCTACCTCGCCCGCACCCTCCCCAAAAGGGTCCTCACCCCCTCCCTAACCCAACCAATCCGCCAAACCCGAGCACTAACCACACCAACCCTCCAATCCACACCAAGAACCCGCACACCCCGATCAAATCAAATCCACCCTCCCTCCCACCGAACCTACCACTCAGCCTTACACGCCCGGCTCCCAGACCACTCCTACACAAACTCCCAAACAGCAATCCTAACCTCCGCACTCACCCACGTCCCGAAGCACGGCTTCTCCGCCACAGCACTAACCCTCGGCGCACGGGACGCAGGCTTCCTCGACGTCTCGGTGCAACTACTCCCCCGCGGCGAATTCGACCTCATCCTCTTCTGGCTTGCTAGTCGACGGGGTCTGTTGCGCGGCAAGGTCGAGGAGGGAGGGTTATTCCGGCGCATTGCGGCGGAGAACGGGAAGGATATTCATGAGCTTTCTGTTGAGGAGAGGGTTCGCGGATTGCTTTTGGAGAGGTTGAGGATGAATGTGGAGGTTAGGGATGTTTGGCAGGATGTGAGTTTTTTTCTTTCCTTTTTTCCTTTGAAGCAGATAGACGCAGAAGAAGAATCCCCATACTAATCTATGTTTTGCTAGGCTCTCGCGCAAATGTCCCTTCTTGCTAATATCCCCCTTTCTCTTACGGAATTGCATGCCCTGGCCTCGGATATTCTTACTCTTTCTGGTGATGACGCTGTTGATGCGTCTTGGTATACGCGCCGTCTGGCGGTTTCGGCTATTTATGCCAGTGCTGAGGTTGTCATGACCCGTGACCCGACGCCGGATCTTGTGGAGATGGCTGCGTTTGTAGAGCGCCGGTTTGAGGATCGGAAGACGCTTACCGATAAGATTACTGGTATTGGACAGTGTGCTGGGTTTGGGTGGAATACTGCTATTGGGTTGGGGCGGAGCTGGGGGTTGAAGATTTGAGGGGATTGTTGAATCAGCCTGTTTCACTTTTGATATTGATGCCCAGCTCATACTCCCAGGGTTGTTGAGGGAAGTTGAGCTTTGCGGTGATAGATGGGTTTGTACTTTTATTTCAACTATTTTTTATTATTGTAAACTACTACTCCGTTCTTATCAGCGAAAATATTCTGTTTTGTTATTCTGGGATCCAGTCCTTGCTGGTGTCCTCAAAAATATCCTATCCATATCATGCAAATAAATAGAGACATAACCTATCATGTCCCAACCTGTTCACCCGAACAGCCACGCTTGATGCCAAAAAAGAAAACCTGAAAATGAGCCAAGAGCAAAAAGCATATCTAGGCATAAAAAGAAAAGGAATTAAACAGAGAAGCAACGCTCAATGCAGGGAGACGTTCTGCACTGCCTCCTCTACACTGAGAAGCGCATGGTCATCGGCAGCACCATCAGTTGGGCCATATACCTTGTCTGCAGTAGCCTCAGACGGCGACATCAACAAGGTGGGGGACTTCGGCGAGAACGGATCTGAAACAACACTACCCTCTGGTGACGGTTCTTGCTGAGCAGACGCGAGGGTGTTTCCAGCAGTCCCAGACTCCTTTGATGGGCTAACACTGCTGGTCCCGCTCTCGACTGAGTCACTCGGTCCATGCTGGGGCTTGCCACGTCCCCAACGACGCGCTTTTGGCGGAAGTGGAGCCTGTCCATGTCGGCCTGTTCCGGCTGCTGGGACTACCGGCCGGTGGTGACTTGAGGAAGGTGTGTTATGACTGGAACGGCGTGGTGGCGGGAGGGCCGGGGGTGGATTTGATACAGCCCGTCGGGGCCGTGAAGTTGGGGGTGCAAGAGTGGAACCTGACCCGGAGTTGCGGTGATCATTGGTAGGTGGCTGTGATGGTGGTGTACTGGGGGTGAGAACGGTGGTGGGGCTGACTTCGACGCCTTCGGGGATGGTATTCCTGTCGCTGCTTGTGCCAGTAGAGTGGTGCTCTTCTTCATCCACGGCCAGACGGCGCCCGCGCCAGCGGCGAGATTTCGGTGGTTCGGGTTTGACCTTTGGTGGCCGGATTATTGGTGTCTCACCATTGAGAGCGGCGACAGGGACTCCGTCTTTGCGGCTGGGGGTTATTATGCCTGGTTTTTCGTGCTGTTCTGCAACGGCTTGAACGCTTAGTGAAGATACGGATGCGGGCTCTAGGTTCATGCCGAGCCGGTGGATTAAGCTGTGTTTCCGACTCTCCGGCGCGTTGGACGAACTATACGAGTCCATTCGCGTTGGCGAGGTTGTGTCAGGTGAGCTAGCGATTGTGCTTCCTCGTGAGAGCGTGCGAGAGATGTCGAGTGATTCGCCGATATCTATGGGTGACGCATGCTGCTCGCCTTGATCCAGGACCGTCTCAATTGTAGTTGTTGTCACTTGAATGGGAGTTTCTTGGGTTTCTGCTGCGTCGGGCTGCTCGTCATTGCGTAGCCATTCTACTGTCGCACACCGAGCGACAAGTCGACGTGTCGTTTCATCGACCTCTTCGAAATGCATGATTTTCTCGTGTTCTAGGTCGCTCCCATATGAGACTTGGCCCCGAACAAGAACGCTGAGTAGCCTCCGAAGTCCATCCCGCTTGTAGTGCGGCGGGTTTCGCAGCTGTGTATGAGCTAAAAGTGGGTAAAGAACACGTAGGTAAGTATGCCGCAGCGCGGAGGCCTCCTCGGGTAGATCAAGCAAATTCCGCATCAATATATCGACCAGAACATGTAGATCGTTCGTGAAGAAGTACTCATATGTGCTAGGGGTGGTAAATATGAGATAGAGAAGCTTCAATGTGAGCAACTGAAGTGACGTCTCGGCTGCATGCTGTCAGCCGTTGATTTCATTGAACAGGAGGACCGGCCGTTACCTTCACGGTTGATAAGAAGAATGATGTTCTCTCCGAATGTCTTATACATCCCACCATACGCAGATAGGACCTTGATAACCTTGTTGGTCAAGTGACCAGTGGGCCGGCCGTCGACCGGATCGTGAGCCGAGATCATGAACTGCTCGTTCAGAACCAGCTTTGTAATTTGTTAATGCCATTCCAACCAAAATAAGCCCGAAGGAAGTGCTCACCAGCACCCGAATCACGGGGTAATGATAAGGATCGGTAACATCGTAAGAGAGATCTTCGATGATATCAAAGAGACAACGAATGAAATCGTCATCCACGAGAACTGCACACAAGCCCATAATCAGCTACCAGCAGCAGCACATGTGTATCCGAAACGCACCCAAATCTTCAATCTTGACCCTTTGTATCCTCGACATCTCATACACAAGGTCCATCAACAAACGATGAAGACCGGCGTCGCCATCCAGATCCGCTCTTCGCATCGCCTGTATAAGCTCGAGGAGACGTGCAAACGCGCCCTCCTCATTCAGCATCTGAAGCACTGCTTCATTCTCTCGTCCGTCAAAGAGGATGAATGACGCAATGAAGTGGAGTGTATTCGGATCATCGTCCTGCAAGAGACCGTAGAGAATCTGTCGGCGCACGTAGTCCGCATGTGAGGCGAAGATATTTGACGTAAATAGCTTGTAGGAACAGCGTGATATATCGGTTTCCGACCGGAGGTACTCATCTAGGGAGAGGTGGGTGTGTTAGTCGCAGTGGAAACAAAGTTGGGGGCGGACGTGGCGCCGCACGCGGGAGAGTGTCGGGGGGTAGAGAGATCGTTGCTTGGGGGTCGAGGTGCCATGTATACCTTTGTATTGAGTTGTTAGACTGAGATAAGCTCGGAGGGAGTCGTCGATCTCGTCTTCGGAGTCACAGTTCTTGGAGACGATCGTTTGAAGTTCTGCGAGAACCAGTCAATTGTCACGTCGCATTATCTTGGAAGGAGAAAAAGAGACTGAGAACAACATACCAGTCCAGAACTCAGTCTCCGAGACCTCAGGCTCCATTTCCCGTCAGACAGCTCATGCCGGTTTATGTGCCGGGGTTGAAGAGTTGGAGAGAGTTGAAGGGCGCGGGGGGCTTGGGAATTCGAGAGTCCCACTGCGGGTCAACCCTAAGGTACGCACTACATTACTTGGACTACTATCAGGTACGTGTTATACAAGAACTTTCATTGGTATCAAAATGCAAAAAGAAAATCCCATAATTATGCAACCGGGCGTAAGAATGGATGCGCTTCGGTATTCCTATAAGAAAAAGAAAAGAAAAAAGGTCAGTGTTGGTCCAAAGTTGTTTGTTGTTTACAGGGCTACGTCGATCACTTACAGAACATATTTATCCAAGTCCACGACAGTAGGGTCGCTGAACAAAAGGTAGAAGTACTTCAATGTCTCAGATAACCAGAAAGACTCCATAGCATCCTTATGGATCGGTTTCTGGGCTGTGACATCGTGAATGGCCGAGTTTGCCAGCTCCGTTCGGGTATACTTCGAGATGGCTTCGAACATCTGCCACCCCTTGCGTCGCCAGGATTCGTCACCAGTCAGACGGTACATGATAAAGACTGACTCAATCGCCTCGGGTCGAAGGTAGTATTTCGGCGATGGGATACTAGTCATGCCTGCTGGGAGGTGGTCTTGGCCGACTTCGGCGATGTGTGGTGAGGCGGGCGATGAAGTTGAACGAGGTGCATCTCGGTTCTCCAATTCAACTACACCGGGAGTAGGAGTCGGGATTGAAGCAACCGATGATTCCTCCGCGTGATTTCCTAATGCAAGTCCATCGCGCTTGACCAACATGTCGCTATCGTGGGGGTTTAATGAACCCGGCATAGGGATGGGCACAGACCCGCTCGCGGTTCCTTGAGGTGGATTGTGTGCAATCATATTCACGCGCTGTTCGTAGCTGCTCTCTCCAGTGCGGAACGAATGTGCTGCGTCGGGGTCTACACGCGAGTAGCGTGCCACGCCAGCATCAAAGCGGGCTTGATCCCACTCGCAGGCTAAGCCTTTCTCACAGGGCAAAAGGCGGAAACGTTCAGGCATAATTCCGGTCTGTGTCGACTCGTAGGCCCAAACACAACCCTCGGTCAGTTTGGCTGCGAGTTCCAAATCACCATCGATGCCAAAGGCCTTGGCTCCTATGGCGAACATGCCGCCGACGAAACATGTCAAGTGAGTACCTTGGTAATCAAGATCAGAGGGAGTGAGCTCTGCGACTTTCCCAGGTGTCATTGGAGTAGTCGAGGCCATGAAGCGGATATCGCGTCCACCTTTCACCATGGGCTGGAAAAGAAGATTCTTGCGGGCTGCAGTGGCAGCCTTTTTATACATATTCACGTATTGCTCGTTGAGGCCTCCCAGTAGCAGATATTCCTTGGGCAGATATTCATAGGTCGAGTCGGCCATTCCACCCATAGTGTACACGTTCTCGTGGGGTGAATTGGGAAGCCTCAAGCCACCATTGCATTGCTCTGCTGATGGTGTGTTTTGTTCGCGGGCCTGAATGCTAGGTTCATTCTCAGCTCGCGTATCGTTGGCAGGTCTGGAATGTCCTTCGATGTCAGCGGTTGTATCGCGTGGGATCAGCTTCAGATAACTCTCAAGGTCTGTCGGTGCAGCGTAAGACTTGCGGGTCATCGTAGTAGTGCTCTTGGCCGTGCTAGTCTGTTCGGGCGTAGGACTGTTATCACGCGGGGGAATAGCCTTGGAGTACTTGGAACATCCCTGTGCATTGACCCGAAGAGGCCACAGTCCAGGGATGCTTGTTGAATCTTGGATTTTCTCCAATTCGTTGGTAATCCGTGCAATTGCATCATAGTATTTATCCCGCTTGGTCAATTGAGCCAAACGGGTAAATTCCAAGGAAAGCGAGCCAATTTCAGCCAGGCCAGCTCGGGAAGACGCCCGGTGCGGTTTCGCAACATACTCCCTGGGGAAATTCGGTTAGTCACCCTTAGATGATTAGAGATAGACTGTGGCAAGACTTACGGAGCCCAGCGATAGTAAAGGTGTGGCATGCGGTTAGGAGTGTCAAAGGCACCAATGAGAACCTCAGCAAGCTCCTCTGCTCTCTCCAGGAGTACGGAATATCGATGACCGGAAATGTCATAGGCACCCAAAAGACCGCCAAGATAGCGGATTGTCGTCTCAAACATCGGAATATCTGCTCTCAGTGACGTTTTGAAATCAATGTTTTTGATCAGATCCAAAGCCTCGGAGAATTCATCCTTCAATTGCATAATCCAGAGAGTATCAATGGAATCAACCAGTGTCGCTCCCCAGCCATTGAATGGGTCTTCAAACTCCTTCGACAGAGGCTTAACTTCGTCATGCCCCATCGCGATCTCCTTATAACCTTTCCAGGCATGCGCGAACTCGGCCTTGATAGCGCTAAGCCGTTGTAGACGTTCTTGTTTGTCGGAGCTCGACTCATCCTTGAACTTCGCTTGCAGCTTGGGGATAGTTTTCGACTGTTCCTTTGGCAGCTTGATCACCTCGTCTGCAGGGACGGGAAACCGTTCCGGGAATTTCTTCCACTTGGCCGTTGGGATGCCAGATTCATGGTGCTGCACTGCCATTCTGCCGGCTCCCCCATTGTCAATCTCCTCCCCGTTTGCACTATTGATGTTCTCCGTTGTCGGCGGTGACAAGCTGTCGGTGCCCCCCACCTTCGCCGGTTCCTTCGTGGGGCCCTTTGCGGAGTCCTTCGGGTCATCCTTGATGGGCGTTTTCACCGGGGGAGTGTTAGAGGAAGCATCTTTAAAATGACCACTATCCTTTGAGCCGCTATTAGGACCTACGGGCGAGGGTATCTTCTCTGGCTGTGGTGGGGAGGTGGAGCCGCGGTAGGGATCGGGAAGCACACGGTCTTTACTCCCCTCGATTGGGGCAGCAGTGGCCGGATTTTCAGGCTTGGGGTTCGCGGGTTGATTCGGATGGGCATTATCGGGTGTATGAACGCCAGTAGACTCTTCAATGACTGTATAGTTCCAATCGCGTGACCGCGCAAAATGGAAGAATGTGAAGACAACAGCCGCCGCAAATATAACCAGAACTCGGTATCGGCGAGCTCGAAACATTGCGAGCGGTCACCGTCCAAGTTGTATTCTTCAAGAAGAAAAAAAAAGGTAGGAAGGAGAAAGCAAGGAAAAAACAAGGGGATTAGCCAAGTCCAGATGAAATCACGAGACTCCACAAGTAAATAAAAAGGATCCACATGTGGGAGCCTCCACGTTCTATTTTGGTCTTTCTCTTCTTTGACATCTTCTTGTTCCTGTATGTCTTTATTCTTCTTCGAATTTCACTATATAGCTTACCTCCAAATAATGAGATCTTTTCCAATAATTTCAACAATCTCAACAATTCCATATCGCCCTGGAAAACCCACGGTTCTTGGGCCTCAAGACATAGTGGGGATATCAGCCCAGACGCCATCTTTTTTAGGGCGAATTGGCAGGGCTGTTTCAACGCCGATCATTGGCCCTGGATTTCGGACTGTGACTGAATTAAATGCATGCAACCCGCAAGGGTCTTCAAGTGGGCCTATCATCAATCGATTCTTCTGCTAGTTCTTATGAAGGTGCTGTTGTCCCAAATGTGGTCCACAAGGCTTTAACCCCTGTATCCTGCAGCTGACGGGGATACATAACACTCCGTTAAATACTCCATACGATTACAATTGCATGCCATGGAGCGTGTACAACGATCCTAGCCGGAAAATATACCCTACATATTCAAAAACGCACAAGTATAATTATCTTGATTCAGCATTATGAATTGGTAAACTGACATGTGAATAGTGTCCTGAGGTTGGCCCCAGGGTCCCTGCTAATATATATAAGGGGCTAGAAGAACAGCTTCCACGGACTAATATAGCTGATCCATAGAAAAGACCAAGAGATTTAGTCTCGACTAAGTATACAAACCATCTCGATCTCAGCACAGAATACATCAGCCATCTCCTAGGAACAAGCCCAATCCGTAAAAAGGCCTTATGTCGTCTGGTAGTCTAGTAAAGTTGCAAACAATCCATGTCTGACAGCTAAAGCCCATTGTATAGATCGGTACTTTATGATCTGTGTTGCACGTCGGCAGTTGGGTTCCCTGTGTACATGTCTAGACACCCCATCCCCTGTACTTCACACTCAGATAGACTTTCAAACCCAATGCCATTTCATACCCAGCCTCTGAAAATAACCAAACAAAGCATTCTTAGGCACATATCCAGCGTGTAGCCTTTGCCATGCAGCTGCAAACGAGCCCTCAATTGGACCCAACTCCCCAAACCCAAGGATTTGCAGGGCCCACGGTGTCAACAAGGCCAGAATACCCAATGCAATCAGCGTAGCGTATACAGGATGTTCTGTTGCAAAGCCAATAGCAGCGTTTCTGCTTTGGGCCGCAGCATCAGAAGCAGCTCGTGCCATATCCGCACCGGATTCTATTGCACTCTTTAAGCCGCGGAGGATACCCTGTGCTATGGCGTCTGTCCAATTATCGGTGGAAATTTCTTCTTTCAGCTCTTTGTGGAGCAAGTAGGGATCTTCAGCATTGAGAATCTTGGTGACAATAGCGGAAGCGATGGCCTCCGGGGATCGGGGGTCGGTGGGAGGGTGTGGCTCTTTCGTCGGTCTTCCCGAGATGCAGTCGTAGATGAAGTTGAGCATCTTGTTTCAGAGTTGCTATGGATATTAACGTGATTTATGGGAAAAGCCGAAAAGGAAGGCGCATTAAGAGTGATGGGTGGGTTGGAGGAGAAGAGGAAGGGGGGAAGGTATGAGGGAAGGCGGAAAGGAGGGGCATAGAGGTAGGTAGATTAGTATGTGAAAGTGTTCACCTGATATACGTAGGTGCCCAAGGTATGAGTGCCTGATATGCACGTGTGCATGCGGCCACCTTGTAGGTGTTTCTAAATTTACCTATGTACTCAAGCCATAATAGATAGTTAACAGCATGATAAAGCAATACAAAAGGTCCGCCATGAGACACTGAAATCCACATCAAATGGTCATATATCGTGTCTGAAGCATATAAGCTGTGATCTTCCTACAGCCTACCACCATACTAGAGGTTACATAGGAGAACGAATATCTAGATCCCCACATTTGTCCGTCTGCCTTCAGTATTAGCTTTCTGGAACTGCTGAATCAAACCCAAAACGCCACCCCCGCCAGCGATTGCGTCGATATTTTCGCCTTCATCGCCCTCAGTGGGGTCATCCTCGTCCCTGCTGGGTGGATTCATGCGCCAAGAATCGCCGAGGTTGCTGTCACTAGTACCTGCACCTGCACTGGAAGTACCGACACGAGCACCAGATTGCCGTGTTGTTGAATCGCGGCCATCTTGGGATAGCGGTTCTTCCTCGTCATCGATAGGATCCGTAGACGGGTGCTGGGAACGTCCGAGCCGAGAGCGCTGGTGCTGCTGGGGGGGTAGTTCGGGCTGCGGCGCGGAACCCAGTGGTCGATGGTTGGTGGTGCGGGTCAAGGAGCATGGACGGGGCAGGAGAGCGGTGATCGAATCCTCCAATTTGCTTTAGTTTAGAGGCGCCCACCATTGATTGAGGGTCGAATGGCATACCGGAGGTCGGCCCAGTGCGTGTCTGGAGATGGTCAAGGCGATCAGGAAGAGCACCGAACCCACCTGTAGTGGGTGAGCCGAGGGTTGGCAAGGTTGGCGGTGGGTGGAATGGTCGCCGGCTGGTAGGTTGATTGGTGGTACCGTAGTTGTCCAAGAAGCCATAGTAGGAAGCTAGCATTTTGCCGTCTTTAGTTGAGAAGTAATCAGTGCGCGGATCTTGCTTGCTAGGATTCCGACGCGCGGGTCCGGCTTGGGAGAGCACATTTGTGCCCTTCTTGAAGTCGAAGACGGCAAAAGAGCAGAGATAGCCTACACCGTCAACGTGCACGGTGAACTCCCGGAAGAAGTCAATGAGGCGGTCACTGCACTTGGGCAAGCTGAACCACAGGACGAAAGGAGTGAAAATCATGCTTAAGATCTCTTCCAAGAATATCACAATTTTCATTTGATAGAGGATTGCGAATTCTTTCCGCACATCGTCACTATGCAAACGTCCCTTCCACCCGGACGGGAAGTAATGTGTAAAATCGATCAGCTCGAGGAGTGCATACTCGGGGTCGAAAACATCAGTCTCTTCAGGTGCCAGCCCTCGCGCAAAAGCCCAGACTGTACCGAAGATACCAAGATAGAATAACACAGTCCGGTCAGGAGTAATCTCAAACCCAAGGAAGAGCTCCGGATCTATCACCGAAGCAAGAGCCAACACTGAGGCAAGAGCCCCGGAGATGAAAGCAACGAAACGTGCCACTTGAACGGTCTTATCCTTGGGGAATTGGTCCACATAACGACTGGCGAACGGATAAGACATGTTGATCCGGCGCTCAAAGAGATGCCAAAGCTCATTGAACTCGCGGAATTTCCATTCCGCCATAGGTGTATACTGACGGGAACCGATTTGGCCCGGATTCTTCTTGAACTCGTTGAAGTACCGGAAGAAGTAGTGCATCATAAAATATATCACAATAAAGGGCGCTACAAAGATATTCATGACGCCAGCGAAAACAAAGCGCCGACGTAAGCCATCACTCAGCGCTCTTCGATGCGTGTCCTTGAGGAACAGGGTTCGTAGTTGGCCTTGCTCATTAAAGACATAGTCCATGACACAAAGATTGAGATTCCATTCCATGGTTCGGGAGAAGAGTTGTCGATTTTTGAGGAATGGAATAGGGAGAGTGAGATCCAAAATATCCTTGTTTACCAATGCGATCATGTAGTTCTCCTTGCGCATTAGGCGGTTGGCAATGTCGTGAGCGTCCATTCGCTGCTTTGACTGGCTGCCCAGGAATCTTCGATGTTTCGTAGAAACTGCAGCCGCGGTAGATGGATTCGAGTCTCTCAACGCCATCAGTCGACTGACCACTTCCTGCCAGGAAATCGTCTGGACTTCGGCATCTGAAACGCCGAGCAGGTAGAGGTAGAAGTCATGCAGATGTTTGAGCCTGCGGATGTCTATCAGGTACTGAAAAAGCTTCCCAATCCAGAAAAAGCTGAAGAGCCACAACAAAAATGTGGACGACCCGGACATATTTGCTGTGCATTGGGGCACGAGGATATCATCCAGAGTCTTGCTCCGCCTGACCTTAGTGTAATCAATACAGTTGGTTAAAAATGTAGAGAAACCAACAACGAATGCAAATGTCCTGTGTATACTGTCAGCTTCTTGTATGGTTCTCTGGAAAGGGTATTATCGTGGACCTACAAGAGGTTCAGCACCCGGGTCAGCAGAATGGACCAAATTCCGTTCCCTAAGAAGTATATGTAGACATCCTTTAAGAAGTTATCCAGATCCTCGACGTTTGCCCACCGCCACATTGCTTTCTTCTTGGGATCAACATTGGCAAGGCCGGGGTGTTGGCCGGTGAACCATCTTCCTATGGGATGACCGCCTTCACTGGGCGGTTGTTGATGGGCCTCTCGTTCATTCCAGCGGGCTCCCGTAGGTTGTGAGGATGGCCCAGTACTGGGGCTTCTTCGTCGATTCGATCGGTCATGAGATCGGGGAGGGGGAGGTAACCGTGATTTCAGGTCTTCGTGATGACCTTCTACCAGGAGAGATTGAGGGACGTCTTCATCATGATCATCGAGCTCATATCCAAGTGGCGATTCTTGTGCCATCCATCGAGGCCGGGACGACTTGCGACGACGGGTGCCAGATGGAGAGGCTCGCTCTTCAGGTGCCTTGCCCGACCGTGCTTGGTTGAGCAGTGCAGTTCTGGGGGTGATTATTTCACTGTCCTGCGCATCTGCCAGTGCATCCTCCAGTTCCCTGTCACTAAATTGTTCCTGCTGGTCATCTATGACCAAACCAGCACGTTCTTCGAGATCAGAGTATTCGGACCCGGCGTCATGTTGGCGAATGGTCTCGTAGACCGATGGTGAGCCCGTTGGGGGTAGGAACCGAGATAATATGTTAGAAGACATCATTTTGGATCAGACTGAAGGCTATAGTCAGACCACTCATGGCAACAGCTTTAGAAGCCAGTGATAGTGGTAATGAAATGCCATCCAGCGGCGTTTGATAATGCGGAGAAACGGGGATCACTACCAATACAGGAGGCCGAATGGGATCGGGTTGAAAATGGGTATGTGCTCTGATTAAGGTGATTATGGGAGCTCATAAAGAAGTATGCATCTGACCTGGTCCTCGTGATAACAGTCACCAGGAGCTGTGATCATTCCCAGGTTCTCCAAACCTCCCGATAGCTATGATGACATAAAGAAGGGGGAATCCTTGCAGCCTCAGGCATATATGGTGGCGTGCGTCATGTGACATATTATTTATCACCTTATCTTATCTCCACAGGTGATATGGATGGATGCTTCGGCTTAGCAAGAGGTTTTGTTCTAGTTAATCAACTAAATCCTGCAAGAAAAGATTAAATTAGTGATATTAAAGACTATAGGAGAGTGCTTCTTTACTAACATTTTTGTCAGCATAGGTATATATTATCACGGTACATATATATATTACACTCCAATCTGATATACGTTTTTATCTCCTCCCTAGTGACCGTGTTCTCGGTATTTTAGTTCATCACCAAACATGATTTTTGATGAATGTAGGGGGAAAATGACATCGATAGAAGATCAGACAATATCGCTACCTATCCTTTACGTCTCCGAGGAAAAACGAGCAGTACACTCCTTATATGCCTTCAACAGCTCCATCTTAATCTGCGTAAATAGGACTCCACGCGCTCTCGTCCTTATAAGAACAGCGGTAAATAGAGAATCCCCAGGGTAAACCGCGCTTTTTAGAAAATTTATCGGATAGGGAAGCATCGATGTTCTTGTAATCGTCAAGCATACTGCGCGTCTGCTGATCTTGTGCCTTGCTAGTAATCCCACGGACGCTGGTTGGAGAGCTCCGTGGTAGACAGCGCTGGGGCAAGACCGCGGATATATGACTGAAGATAGGATGCCGAAGCAACATGGATCCGGGTTGAGATCGGTTGAGATCCGATACACCGGACAAAATGCCGTCAATCCGGTAATTGTAGAAAAAGAGACGGTTTGCAGGATTTGCAGGGTTTGCATCTCCTCAGCTTTCATGTCAGATGATCTCTCGGCAACTGGCTAGTATAGAAATACGATCCTCACACTTGGGCACCTGGGCAGATTTTTTGCCCATATGTCACACCGGAAAAGGGGTTAATTCTAAAACCCCTGCCCATACAATTCGATTTATAGTCACATTTGGAAATGCTTCAGTGTCGAGGCTTGTCAATGCTTGAAAGAAAGTTTTCTGGGCTTCTTATGAATGATCGAGAAAAGTAAATCTAGGAATACATACCGTGTATGGTTCAAAAATCATCCTATTAGAAAGGCTCGCAGACCGTTTAAAAATTATCACTGTACAACGAGGCAGTGTTTAGCAGGCTTCATTAGCCCGTAAGATCTATTCAAGCAATAGTTATTTATTTCAGCCGTGCTTACTTCCAAGGTTACAACTCCACTTCGGGGCTGTATCGATCCTCCTTCTGCCCCCTGGCCTGACACCGGAGTTTCTTGCGGAGGAAAGTAAGTCAGAACCCCAAGATGTATCTGTATAAAAGGCGCTCGCAGTACCTGTAGTGCCAGTCTCGATCAACTCCATTCATCGTTCCAGCATGTTGGCTACGTTTCTCTTCGTCACCGGGGCCCTGGCTGCCTGTGTCCACTCTCAGCAATTCGACCCGTCGGCATATGCTGCAGAGGACGTCATCGAGCGGGACTTTGCCATCATCGGCGGAGGAGCAGCAGGCACCTATGCAGCAATCAGTCTCGCCGATCAGAATAAGACCTTCACTGTGGTTGAAGTGACGGACCGACTTGGTGGGAACACCCGGACTTTTCGCGACGAGGCTACGGGGGCCAGCATCGACATTGGCGTGCAGCTCCACGATAATATCCCTGTCGTCCGTGACTTTTTCAAGCGATTAAACTCGCCTCTGGCGCCTTTTAAGCCCACGGATTTCGGAAACCCCAAGTACTACGATTTTACCAACAAAGTGGCCCTTACCAACCACACCCGGCCGACTATCGAGAGCGATTATGTGGCCGTGCTCAACAAGTATCCTTTCCTCGACGATCTCAATGACCTGCCGGACAATGTGCCTGAAGAACTGCTTCTGACCTGGCCAGAGTTTGCCAAGAAGCAGAATCTCTCCCCTAGATCGGCTGAGGCAGGTCTGTTATGGCCAGCGACCCCTGGCAATCCCCTGGACATCACCGCGCTGGCCATCTTCAACGACGGCAATCACATTGAGTTGGCGGAGAACACCGGGGCAGCGGTTCGCAGTGCCACTCACTACAACTCCCAGATTTACGACAACGCCCTGGCTGAGTTGAAGGAGCATGTCTTGCTGAAATCCTCCATCATTGCAGCCCAGCGTGGATCCTCCCGCAAGGACGGCGTACGACTCGTGGCCAAAACTCCCTCTGGCAATAAGCTCATCAAAGCCAAGCAGCTCATCATTGCTATGCCGCCGATCCTGGACAACGCCAAGTACTTTTCTCTCGACCAGCAGGAACAGTCCATCCTGAGCAAGCTTTCTGGCAAGCACTACTACGCGGGCGTTGTGAACAATACCGGCCTCGAGGCAGGAGTTGCTTACACCAACGTCGGCCAAAACACACCGTACCAAGTCGCCAGTCTTCCTGGAGTGGTCGAGATCGCTGGTTCAACTTCTCCTGGATACTTTTTTTATTGGTACAACTCGGTCGACCCTCAGACACAGGAGGAAATTGAAGAGGCCACTCTAAGCACCATCAAGTGGCTGCAGAGTGAGAGTGGTATCGAGGCCGTGGAGCCAACATTCCAAGACTTTGTGGATTACTCGCCGTTCCATTTGAGTCCCCCGACTAGCGACATTGCGGACGGCTGGTATGGCAAGATGAAGGGCCTCCAGGGCCACAGGAACACTTGGTATATCAACTCGCTGTTTGTTGTTAGCTCGACTCAGATATGGAACAACACTCGCAACATACTTCCGGAAATTATTGACGCTGCTCGGTCTTGATGTACCTACACGGTTTAAACTGTGTAGATCGTACATGGGTTTCCAGCATTTGCCTTGAGATATATTCTAATTCAGGGTTATATATACCACTATTGCAATTAACTTATTATTATTATTATTTTTATTCCTCGGGCTTTCCACGACCTTGGGTCGTATGCAGGTCGTATGCAGCCCCATAGCTAGTGCACCATATAATATATACATCGAATGAATTCACCCCCATGCGACAAGATTATCAAGTGTTCAGTACCATCATCCCTTGATAGCCGTCCCCAATGCAAGCGTGATCACAACTCTGACGATCTTGATGTCGGTCTTCCATGTTCTTCCGTTAAGTCTATTTGTTCCGTCCACGCTCGCTGGTATGCGAGCTCTCGGAATAGGTCCCTTATTAGGAACCTTATTACCACTAAATATGTAGTATAAGAATCCAAATGTTGCCAAATCCCCCGTATTACAGCAATACACAGTTCTATCTTATTGCAATACAACGTATACATTTCTATATAAGAGGTATATACTGAAGAGCTTCATTGTTGCCGAATCGGGGTACAATGATCTCACTCTATTATCTCATTGAGTAGATTGCAACATCCTTCACCACTGTGACTCGACATGGCCCCTGGTCTGGACTCCCCTGCCGCCTTAGGAATCAGCCACCGAATCTGCCACACTTAGGATCCTTCGGCCGCCCGGGAGGAAATCATATGATACATCAGCAGGATGCAGTGGTGCATAGCTAATTCAAGGTGAAGCGGTGGTGACGGCACCCCGCACGTCTCCATTGCGGTAAGCCCCTCGCCGCCGGAATACGCCCCCAAGTTCCAACCGGGCGGATTAGATACCCTGACAGAAATCTGGCTGTATTCAAAGGTATGGTACGAAGTACAACTGGCAGATGTTGGGTCCTCGGGTCCACGGGTGCGGACATCGATGACTAACTGTATTAAGCAGCTGCACGGATGGACTTTTCGATGGTATGCCGAATACTGATTGTCACATGATTTTATGGGTAAATTACCCGGTCTCCACCACTCTGACATATAGTTACATGTGACTTGACTGGACATAACTAAGTTCTTGTACCCCGCATGGTCCCACCTAGCTCTCCGCCAATATATCATCATACCGCCTACCGAAAACGCATAGTATCTATGAATATAATCTCCGTAAAATAGCACGCAAAACTGATTTTCCGCGAACAAGATGGTGTATTCTCCATCTTAAAACTCCGAAACAAATGCTTTTATTATGTGTCATTATTTGTAAAGATAAATATATAAATATAATATATGCCTTTTTTTCATATCTTTTTTACTGGCAGAATATTATATAATCATAAGATGTGGGGCTGGGGGATGCAACAACTTATATCCAGTCACTGTACCTTCGGAGTAAATATTCTGCATCTGATATAAGCCTCCTTGGCCCCGGGTAGCGTCAACCATATCAATGCTCGTAAGGCTGCAGCCTTTGTTGGAGTTGGCAACACGGGGAATGAGCCAATGGCAAAAATGCCTCAGTTACAACTCAGACCATCGTACTCCTGTAAAGGGGCCAGAAGAAGGTAAGCATGCGAGACGAGATTAGGCAAAGGGGGCCAAATTAGAGTTAGCAATAAGCCATAAGCCATAAGCCTTAAGCCATGGGTCATAAGAGGTGAGAGAGAGTGAGACCAGGGGCAGGAACCGACAAGGAAAGGCAGGAACGAACAACGAAACAGAATAGTCCCCCCTGTTGGCCAAGGCAGAGGCTCAGAAGCTAAGCGAGACCAAGCTTCACTGGCCAAGCGTCCTGAAAAGGCCGTATCCTGCATTTTATACTGCGCCCTCGTGGCAGGTCGGGTGCAGTCGGCTGTGCACTAGTTTTCAGCACATGGTGATGGGCTGATGCGAGATACAGCCAGCGATTGGTCCCACCTTGACAGACGGCGGGGGGCACCGCCAAGAAACCGGACCGGACCGGGGGTCCAGTCTTTGTCCCCGCCCCGCTAGCCCGCTAGCCCCAGCGTATAGTATCGAGTACGTCAAGCGAACCAATGAAGCGATATCGTGTCCTCTTATTTTGCTTCATGTAGTTAATCAGTCTGAGTCTTCATTTATATAAGCTAAGAATAGACGTGCTTTTTACCCTCCTTGGCCCGTGTCTCTTGGGGGCCACTGCATGTGCGGTCCTTTGCCGGTCCAAAACAGGACAATCCTGAATTTTCTGAAATTTATAGAAAATACATATCTGTACGAAAAAAAGTTTCGGAGGGTACTCCTATCTCTATATAAGCTAACTTTTATATCAATATATATATTTTTAAGAATTATATATTAATATATTGTTGATATTAAGCAATACAAAGCTGTAAAATTCATTAAATTATCAATCCAGATTTTCCCCGGCCTTAGAAGAGGAAGATCGATTGCATACTCCACAGACCGATTCAAGCAGCCATGCCGGGCCAACAGCGACAACAGCCGGGAATCGCAGTAGGCCTCATCACCCATTCAGCAAGTTTGATACTGACACTTTGAACGTAGTGCGAAGAATGTCGGCGACGAAGAATTCGCTGTGATAGGACACGACCTCAATGCACAGCGTGTGCTACATCCGGTGTGGAATGCATAGTGCGAGACAGCTGCCCGCCTCGAGGACCCAGAAAGGGATATCTCAAGACGCTGCAGAAAAGGATAGAGGAGCTCGAGAGCCAACTAGACAAACAGGGAACATCTCCAACACCAACCTACCAGACCGTTGACAACGACAGCAGCATAGACAACAATGAAAACCATACCACAACGCCCGAAACCACAGATATCCTGGAGTGGCCGGCAGCACCGGTAGAATTCCCATTCCCCACTGTGGAACCCTGGGGATGTTTCGACGGTTCGTACACGAGCCCGCTCCTTCAATTACCACCAGTGGACAGCGTGCTAGAGATGGCCCAAATTCCAATGGAATCCGCTCTCTTGATCTCTCCCATGCTGCACAATGACCTGTACGTATTACCCTCGTAACTCGTTTGACCACAGTTCTAATATGGCGTAGAGACCAGCTGTATTTCGACCGGGCGTATGCGTTTGCGCCAATCATCCATACCCACCGCTACCGATCATGGTCTAAACAACCAAACAAGAGCAAACAGAAGACATGTCTGCAGTACGCTATGTGGACGTTGGCCTCATCACTCTCCAGCCAGTTCTATGTTCAATGTTGCAAGTTATACGCGAAAACGAGGCAGCTTCTGCACGAACTCGAAGGAGAGGAGCCCTGTCACCAAATCTCTCTGGAACAAACCCAGGCGTGGGCCTTGCTTTCGATCTACGAGTTAACCTGCCAGGACTTCCACCGAGGCATGATGTCCGCCGGTAGAGCTCTTCGCTTGATTCAGATGATGAGACTATACGAGCTCGACATGGCTCGAACACCCCACACCATGCAGCTAGACCAGTATCAAAGGCCACTCACTCCGGGCCAGGAGGACTGGGTTGATATCGAAACGAAGAGACGGACATTTTGGTTGGCATATCTAATTGACCGCTTTACGAGTATGGTGGATGGGCTACACATGTTCTTTGACGAGCGGCTGGTCAGTCTTGAGCCCTCCGTGAAAAAGAAAAAGAACAGATATTTACTCAATCTAGATACGAGCACGCCTGCCAGCTCCCGAGGCAAACTTTGCAAGCAATCGCCCGAAGGACATGAGTTTCCTCGCGGACGTGGTCCCGGATGTCAGCGTCGAGTGGCCACACAATAACCTGTCGCCCTTTGCAGAGTGTATCATCGGGGCCACCATGTGCGGACGGGTTCTCCAGCATAAGCAGAACGCCCCGACCAGACCGTGCGAAGAGTTCTGCAGCCGACATCGAACTCTTAATGCACTGCTGGCGCAACGGATTAGGATGTTACGAATCAACGCATCACTGGAGTACCCGGATCCCATCATCGCATTTGTTGCCCTGGCGGCACAGATCGACGTGCTTATGCTCTATGACCTGATTGAATCCAAGCCATTAGGGACCGGCGTGGAAGGAACGCACCTTGCTCAAGCGCTCCATGCAGAACACCAACAACAGGCCCTAGATGCCGTGACCGATATCTCTCTGCTCGTGGCTGTACTTGGCCAACACTTCCAGGTACGCCAATCAAGTGTGATAGAAGTGTAAGCTGATTGCTAAGAATAGTAGATGCACCCTTTGACCCCCATCCTGCTCCTCCTGGGCGCCCGATTCTCACAATCCCACCCCGAGCTAAACGACGCCTATATTAAGCTTATGCCCAGCATCTTAACAATGTTGCAAGCTTCGACGGGCCTCAACAAGCTTTCACAGAACTTTTTTCAGCTCTTAAAGCCCCAGGACGATGTTGCAATCTACTCTGTGAGATAATGAAGGAGTGAGCTCATTACACCCCGATTCGGCAATAATGAAGCTCTTCAGCATGTAAATCTTATATAGAAACGTATACGTTATATTGCAATGAGATATAACTATATATTGCTGTGATACGGGGGATTTGGCAATTCTTATACCTTGTCACCCCGTAGGCAGCTTACATACATATTTGCTAATAGGGTTCCTAATAAGGGACCTATTCCGAGATCTTCATGATATTCAAACGTATTTGCTACAGCGACCGGGATTGCCATTTGAATGCAAGCAAGGTGATACGACTTGAAGCTAATGCATCAAGTAGTAGGGGTGGCTCATAGTTAGGCCCTTGTTGTTGTTGGTCATCAGCATGCGTGCATTAGTCTTTGATATAGAATCCGTCTAGTATCTTCAGTTCCTCAGATCCTCGGGTTCTCGGCTTTAGGAGCTGCATTTTCCGTATTAACGCATGGAGCCCAGAATAGTCTCGTACTCCAGTACTCGGGTAGTGCTAGGTTAGGTTATACGGGGGGACTCTGCGGACCAGCGTGAAGGGGAATGGGGCTACTTTCCTTTTCTGCAAGTTAACTACACTACCTAGGTACATGGGCGAGGACATCTGCCCAGTTAGGATCGGACAAT